TCCGATCCCCGGGGCCACTCAAAGCTACGTGGATCACACCCTAGATCACGACGCCAAAGTGTCCCGACCCCACGGGGGTGGGGGCAAATGTCAGTAGTCTACCAGCCACTGTTTTACCGATGTCCCAGGCCCATGCGGGGGTCTCTGCCCGCCACATTGACGCACCCACGATGCGCCGACTTCATGACGTCACATGTCTGCCGACGTCACCCGAATGTCTGCTGACGTCACAGTGCTGTGAGTCACACCCTGACTCACTGAGTCAATCGAGTGTTCGTAATTATTAAAATTTTGTCGAGAAGACAGGGAAAAAGATATATGTCTTTGTTAATTCTCTCATCTGTTCCACATGTTGGTACCCATGTACCGCAGGTTTTTAAATTTCCTGTGCCCGGGGGGAAGGTCGACCGACCTGATGCACCACTGGCTAAGTCCCCGATGTGACCAGTGTGTAGCAGCTGAGTAAAGTCACCCCTGGGGTTATGCCCCCCCTTGTACAAAAAGTTTTATGTCGTCGCCGTGATGTTTGCAAACGTCCCTGCTACGTTTCCCCATCGGATTTTTTTCACTTCACCTCAGATATTCAAAGCAGTTAATGTAAAAAACAATTTGGGACGTTGACTAACCTCTGCTATTACTCCCAAATCCGAGAAATGAAACTCGCCAAGCCCCAGTTAGCCCCTGTCGGGAGGCGTGTGTCCCCGTGTCACAACTTTATAGCAGCCTGCCAAAGAAGATGTCACCTTTTATGCTAGTCCTCACTGCAGTTGGGTATAAATTTTTCGACTCCCAGATGTTTCGCCCAGTGTCTCTTCCCACTCGCTCTCAACTCGCTCCAGCTCGCCGGGGGACAGCCCCGACAGTACCGTCGGAAAATGTCCTCCTGAGCGCTTGCCAGAAGTCCCCGCCCCCGGTGCCGAGTTTTGTCGACCCTACTCGAGGGGACCAGCATGCATGCCCAGGATGAAACCTGCAGCGACTCCACGATGACTCTTTCACCGTTCCAGAGGAACCGTCCCTTTTTTCGTCACAGCTCGCCGCAGCGATGTCCCTGTGTTGCATATCTGTCCAGACGCAGGAAGGCGTGCAGTGATGCCCATCGCGCTCACGCCATACCACGAGTTTAGACACCCCAATGTTTTTTTTTTTTCCTCCCCTTGGAATTTTTTTTCCATGTCCATATGTATATAAGTTTTTTTTTTGTGTTCTGTGCCCTTTCCTACGAGAAGAGACCGGTTTCTTTTTTCCCCATATTGTCGCGTCGGGACGACGCGCGGTAGGTGGCCGAGCGTATGTAGACAGCCTGTACTGTCTACACAGACAGCCCATGCTGTCTGCCAGCTTAGTTCATATTTCGCGCCATGCTGGTGCTGCCACCTATAGGCGTTGCCACTTCAGCCTGCCTGCCCTTGCCTCACTCTCACTCACACAGCAGCCTAGCAGGAAGACACAAGGCCTACTAGTAGCTCTCTCTCGTGGGATGGCCCTGCCCGGGCCATGGGCACAACACACAAGCCTGTGTACCCACCACGACTTAACAATAAAGTAAGAAGCCTCCAAAGACGTTTATCATTAACCAACCGCTTACAGCATCACCAATAAACCCATTAAACAATTACAAGCATCAGCAGACCACCTGTTGATTTTACGCATCATTATAACCCCCTGTTGGTTACAGGCATCAGTATATGTGTGGGTGGCCTGCATGTTCCTGGACTACCAGAAAGTCTTTAATTTTGTGTCACATTGCAAATAATTTAGAAATTAGAAAATTGGCACGAGATATACGCGAGAAACAGAACCAAGGAGTACTCGAGAAGCGAATGATAGAAAAGGACGAAGGCAAGAAGACAGAAAAGGTGAAATAGCAAGTGGAGTTCCCAAGAAAACGTTCTTACACAGCAGCAGTCTTGTATACCCCTTAGAAACTAACAAGGAGACCAAGACAGCAATATGATAACAGTAACCAGATAACACAGGGGAACAGCATTCATCTCTAATTGAAAGCAAGTGTGACTTCAGCCAACGAGCCTTAGAATAGAAAGGAAAAGACTCATTACGGTGTAAGGAAATGAGAAACACTAAATTCCAGGAAATATCAACACAACTTGTCTCTACCAACATGAGAATAACAATAAAAGTAATAATAATAATTAATAAAAAAACATGGTTATTCTTTTTTATAAACCAGTATGGATCATTAACACAGAGACTTGTCTGAGGCTCGATCCTCTGCTCTAATTGCAAAATATAAACTTTCTCTCACAGCTAGACTTCCTACCAGCATGAGAAAGAGCCTAAAAGAGTGCAATTAGAGTAACCACCTGATAATTATCCAGGAAAGATCGAAAGGCCGTCCAGCTTCCCTTTCCATCTTTGACTTGTTCCACCCACGGTAAAAAAAATAGACTTAATTCAAGCCAGAACTGACATTCTCACAGGATGAAATAGACATGGAACAACAAGAGTTTGAACATCAGTAAGGAACCACCGATCACTGTGTCATGAGCTTTTCGTACCTAGATAACATGCATACATATACGAGAGACCTGCATAATATAGTATGTAGTAGTGGCGTGAAACCTTCAGAAGGTCAAGGAATGTAGAATCAAGCCAATTCCTTAGATCAAGTTCTTAAGGTACAATGAGAGGCTGAACAAAATACAATTTAGAACACTTAAGAAATTTGCGTTCAGAAGGAACATTGCTGCAGAAAAAACAAAGAAAATCAGAACACGTTTAAAAAACATCATGTGAGATCTGATCCTACCATGAGATGTATTATAAAGGTCTATGAACATTGACTTTTTTTTTTTTAGGGAATAAGACCTGACTGCTGGGACACCAGTGGATACCTGGACGAGCCAGAGAGATCCAAAACGAGCGTCTTCAGCGTGATAGTAGTGAAGGTAGTGAGTCAAGAGGAACTCGCTAGCAGAGGAAAGAGTGAAGGAGAAATCCATATTCGAATTCAAATGCAAAACAATTGCAAACAGGCGATCTTAACAATGCAACACAAGCCACAAGATCTTTCGTACTCTGGATCGTCGTCAGGAGCTATGCATTGTTGCAAGACAGCAACAGTTAGGAGGGGAAATTCTCTGAGGCAAGGTAGAACGTGTTTGTGGCAGGCCATATCACTCTGTGATATGGCCTGCCACTGACACATTCTTTCGCACTCTCGTGCGAAAGAGCTTCAGCTAAAGATTTCCATCCCCATGTGGCTTGTTCTGCATGAATTCAAATGTAAATAGTGTAGAAATCATACCTAAGAGGCAGGTCCCTAGAACTCTCGTGTATTTGACACAAACATAAGTCATTACAAAATATTAGACACACGTGCAACATCTGGGTATCTTTATTTGTAGGCGTTTCACCATCCAGTGGCTTTATCAGTACAAATTCCAGGATATAATGGGAAGACTCTAGGATTCTACACAAGACTAGTTAATCAGTCTCTCAACCTTTAAGGATGAGGGACTGATTACCTAGTGTTTTGTATATAGTTCTACAGTCTTCCCATTATGTCCTGAAATTTGCATTGATAAAGCCACTGGATGACGAAACGTCTACAAATAAAGATACCCAGATGTTGCACGTGTGTCTAATACTTCATCTTGTCGGTATTGTATACCATTCATATACAGCAAGTCATTAAACACGCACATTAACCCCCCCCCACACACACACACACACAGACACACCCCACCACACACACACACACACACACACACACTCACGCACACAGGAGCTGAGACTCGACCCCTGCATCCACAAATAAGTGAACACACACACACTTTCGCGTGAGCTGAAATTTACGAGACAAAACCTCAATTCATTCACTTTTAACGATAAATGGTTTGGCAATTTTTGTGGGAAATTATCGACAAAAATACGGTGATTATTCTTTTCTTTAATAATCGATAGTTTCTTGAGTTAAACACATATTTAAAAGGTCTGATGGAAAATTAGTATGGAAATCGTTTATACTGGAACAAATAAAGGAAAGAGATAGAAGAACAGAGAATATTTTGGTTTCAGATTGTGGTAGTTTAGGTTTCAAAAAAATTATGGACGAACGTGAGAAAGTATTAGATCAAGATCTTCTTTTGTATGTTCGTGAAAGGACGAAATACATAGAAAATTACACTGCAGAAGTATTAGATGCTAGATACTGCATGCTCAGAGTTTGAAATACTTATATATATGTTAAAAAAAAGTGTCATATTAGATCTGTAATAAGATATTAATGCAATTCATAAAGTGTAGTCACTGACAAATGTCTAATGGTCTTATTATTCACGATCCTCATGCACTTCAGAAATGCTGCTGAAGTATGTATGTAGCATATACGAGGTATATATCCTTATTAATATACATCTGACTGTGGAAATGAGTGAATGTATTGTTTAACAATGTATCTAAAGCTTGAATCAGAGGAATATATTTATGCAAACTAGTCTAGTGTCATGCTAAAGTGAAGGAAGAAAAATATAAAACAATTAGTAATTAGAATACTGCCATTCACTACAATAGTTCATTCAAAATGAATGAGACTGGAGTATGTCCTTACAGCAGAGACCACATACAGCTCCATTCACTGTACTTTTTTCAGTTTATCATTGGCTAGAAACCCACTGCTGCCACCATTTCAAAATGTCCTCCTGAGAGAGAGAATGTTGGTTTTATAATATATAGATTTCAGTTGATTTCTCTACACTCTGTTTTTAGTTTTGCTTAAAAAATTATTTTGTAAACTTAGATTTATGTAATGTAAACAAAATAGGTTCATTGGAATTTAACTCGACACAAATTTTAAATGATCAAGGAATATACTCGGTGTAAGCAAGAGAAAACGGGGGACCTCACAAAACGGCGTAAAATCCGTACAGTGCAAAACCAACGTTCTGACTTAATGTTAACGTCGTTCGTCCGATGGTCTTAAAATAAGACCAAGAAGCAGGTTTGGAAAGACCCATTCTCGCTGACCGCATACCCACCTGGGGGTCTTCAAAGCCCTGGTTGGTACTGCCGTAGGAAGGACCACCGTTCTCTTGTACCAGACGATTCCTCATGTCCCTCATCTCCATCCGGTCCAGACTCTTCTGAGGCACGACCATCTCCCTCTGCGACGTCCGCCGCACAAGATGACCCGCGTTAGCCATCTTGAATCTAGTTGCGAGTTGTTAGGTGAGAAAGATAAGCTGCGTCTTGGTGGTGTCTTGTAGACTAGTTCTCTATTTCAGCAGCATAGTGTAACCTGTGGAAACCAAAACCTATTTGAGTTTTACCTTTGGAACAAAGTTAAATATATCTGAACAAATGCAAGCATACAAATATATATCGAATGATAATGATCATTATATAAATGATTATTATAATTATAATAAAATTAAAAATTTTTTTTTTAAAGTACATGACTACGAAACTGGATGCCATTTATTAGTACCTATGGAAAAACTTCTGTTTATACAGATATTTCAACAGTGATAAACGATATCTCTTCTCTGATAAGTTATTACGATAATATCCAAGAAGATATCATCTTTAATATACTCTGTTTCTTTAGATTCTTTATTTTTCGAATGGGTTTCAAACCCAGTTTGGGAAGGCCAGCGGATGCTAAACCACTCGACGGGCCATGTGACGGGCCATGTGACGGGTCATGTGACGGGCCATGTGACGGGTCATGTGACGGGTCTTGTGACAAGCCATGTGACGGGCCATGTGACGGGCCATGTGACGGGCCATGTGACAGGCCATGTGACGGGCCATGTGACGGGTCATGTGATAGGTCATGTGATTACATCCCAAAATAAAACGCTACAGTCTGAGGGACATGCACGTCTCGGTCTATATGATCTGTTGGTTTATTGAAAAGTTAACATTTTCTGGTCAACTTTGCAACATTTACAAATGATGCAGCACTGTATGGCCCTTATGGGTTTAGCGCTTAGTAATGAATATAATAATTTAATGATGAGCGATCAACAATTTTAAATAATAATATAAAAATATTATAAAGGACGAGTGGCACTCAACGTACACACACACACACACACACACACACACACACACACACACACACACACACACCACCTCATTCACGATTTCAAGATTTTAACAGCCAAGTCACACCCCTCTCTTGAAGGAGGCTGCTTAAGAGGTGCCTCTGTATAAAGACAGGGGCCAAGGTCACTCGAGAGGTGACCTCGTACGAGGCAAGGGGAGGACTGAGAGGCCGTTTGAGGCCAACGGGAGTAATGAGGGGAAGGAGGGTGCCTCCTGGCTGACCCGCCGCCTTTAAACCACAAGGCTCTCACTAGTTCGCTTCACACTGAAAGGTTAAAGGCAAACTGTGGCTATGATGGCGGTGGTGGCACCGGTGCTGAGAAGGGGAGGGGACGGGGGTCGGTAATGGCGGAGGTGATGGTGGTAATGGTGGTGTGATGGTGGTAGTAGTGATTGCTGGGGAAGGGAGGTAGCGGTGGTGCTGGTGTTTTTGAAGGTTGGGAGGAGTGGGTGGTGGTGATTGCATTGTTTTAAAAGGTATCAGTATCGTGCCTGGTGGTGGTTGGTGTTGCTGGTGTCCGTGGTTGATGGTGGTAGTAGTGATTGCTGGGGGGAGGGAGATGGTGGTGGTTGTGGTACTGCTGTTTTTTTTTTAAGTATGGGAAGGATTAGTGGTAGTGGTGATTGTATTGCTTATTGTATTGCGGTGGTGGTGGTGGTTGATGGTGGTAGTTGTGGTTGGTGCTTTCCCTACTTTTCTCGCCCCTGGAACTTAACAACGGTTCCCGGGTGATCGAAATGTCGTCATAAGATTCTTTACCTAATTGCTTTTTTTTTTTTTTTTCTGAAGAAAGTAGTTTTCTAAGCGGTTTTTGAAGCAGTTTTTTTGAACCAAGTGTTTTTTTTTGAACCAAGTGTTTTTTTTTGAACCAAGTGTTTTTTTTGAACCAAGTGTTTTTTTTGAACCAAGTGTTTTTTTTGAACCAAGTGTTTTTTTGAACCAAGTGTTTTTTTTTGAACCAAGTGTTTTTTTTTGAACCAAGTGTTTTTTTTGAACCAAGTGTTTTTTTTGAACCAAGTGTTTTTTTTGAACCAAGTGGTTTTTTTTTGAACCAAGTGTTTTTTTTTTGAACCAAGTGTTTTTTTTTTTGAACCAAGTGTTTTTTTTGAACCAAGTGTTTTTTTTGAACCAAGTGGTTTTTTTTAACCAAGTGTTTTTTTTTGAACCAAGTTGTTTTTTTTTGAACCAAGTGTTTTTTTTTGAACCAAGTGTTTTTTTTTTGAACCAAGTGTTTTTTTTTTTGAACCAAGTGTTTTTTTTTTGAACCAAGTGTTTTTTTTGAACCAAGTGTTTTTTTTTGAACCAAGTGTTTTTTTTTAACCAAGTGTTTTTTTTGAACCAAGTGGGTTTTTTTGAACCAAGTGGTTTTTTTTGAACCAAGTGTTTTTTTTTGAACCAAGTGTTTTTTTTTTAACCAAGTGGTTTTTTTTGAACCAAGTGGTTTTTTTTTGAACCAAGTGGTTTTTTTTTAACAAAGTGGTTTTTTTTGAACCAAGTGGTTTTTTTTGAACCAAGTGTTTTTTTTTTAACCAAGTGGGTTTTTTGAACCTTGTGGTTTTTTGAACCATGTGGTTTTTTGAACCAAGTGGTTTTTTTGATCCAAGTGTTTTTTTTATCCAAGTGGTTTTTTGAACTGTTTTTTTTTTTTAACCAAGTGGTTTTTTGAACCAAGTGTTTTTTGTACCAAGTGGTTTATTAATCAAGGGTTTTTTGAAGCAAGTGGTTTATTAATCAAAGGTTTTTTGAAGCAAGTGGTTTTTGCAGTAAATAATTTTGATATGTTGTTTTTGAAGTGACTTTGAAGTAAGTGGATTTGAAGTAAGTGACTGAAAAAAAGTGTTGCTTGATCTAGTATCAACAAATTTTTCACCTCAGTCCGACTGTCACCACCACTATCACCACCACTATCACCACCACTATCACCACCACTATCACAATCACTATCACAATCACTATCACCACCACTATCACCACCACTATCACCACCACTATCACCACCACTATCACAATCACTATCACCACCACTATCACCACCACTATCACCACCACTATCACCACCATTATCACAATCACTATCACCACCACTTCACCACCACTATCACACCACTATCACAATCACTATCACCACCACTATCACCACCACTATCACCACCACTATCACAATCACTATCACTCCACTACACAATCACTATCACCACCACTATCACCACCACTATCACAATCACTATCACCACCACTACACCACCACTATCACACCACTATCACCACCACTATCACCACCACTATCACCACCACTATCACCACCACTATCACCACCACTATCACCACCACTATCACCACCACTATCACAATCACTATCACAATCACTATCACAATCACTATCACCACCACTATCACCACCACATCAACTACCGCCACCACTGTTCCATCACTACAATCACCTTCAACTCCCCCCTCGAACCACCACCACCACCAAATTTCTCCAACACACTTCTCCAACATTCCTCCCACACTCCTTCAGCATCCCTTCCCCACTCCTCCAACATTCCTCCCACACTCCACCAACTCTCCTTTATCATATAAGCACTGACCTTGCCATAACGCCTCGACCTTTATACTGGAGTTAGCTCAAGTATAAAGGTCAGAGAGACAGAGACAGAGAGGAGTATTCACGAATATTATATTGACTCCGTGGATAGGAAGAGCAATATCAACTTAATGTGTATAGGGAAGCGAGCAATACTGGTGAATTATATACATCAGGGTTATATTTATATATATATATATATATATATATATATATATATATATATATATATATATATATATATTATTATTATTATTATTTTTATTTATTATCACAATGGCCGATTCCCACCAAGGCAGGGTGGCCCGAAAAAGAAAAACTCTCACCATCATTCACTCCATCATTCCCTTGCCAGAAGGGTGCTTTACACTACAGTTTTTAAACTGCAACATTAACACCCCTCCTTCAGAGTGCAGGCACTGTACTTCCCATCTCCAGGACTCAAGTCCGGCCTGCCGGTTTCCCTGAACCCCTTCATAAATGTTACTTTGCTCACACTCCAACAGCACGTCAAGTATTAAAAACCATTTGTTTCCATTCACTCCTATCAAACACGCTCACGCATGCCTGCTGGAAGTCCAAGCCCCTCGCACACAAAACCTCCTTTACCCCCTCCCTCCAACCTTTCCTAGGCCGACCCCTACCCCGCCTTCCTTCCACTACAGACTGATACACTCTTGAAGTCACTCTGTTTCGCTCCATTCTCTCTACTTGTCCGAACCACCTCAACAACCCTTCCTCAGCCCTCTGGACAACAGTTTTGGTAATCCCGCACCTCCTCTGGGTTTTCTTTTATTTTCTTACTAGCTCTTGTTCTTGTTTATTTCCTCTTATCTCCATGGGGAAGTGGAACAGAATTCTTCCTCTGTAAACCATGCGTGTCGTAAGAGGCGACTAAAATGCCGGGAGCAAGAGGCTAGTAACCTCTTCTCCTGTATACATTACTAAAATTAAAAAGAGAAACTTTCGTTTTTATTATTGAGCCACCCTGCCTCGGTGGGATACGGCCGGTTTGTTGAAAGAAGAAAAGATTATATATATATATATATATTATATATATATATATATATATATATATATATATATATATATATATATATATATATATATATAATGGACCATAGCCTTGGAGAAGTAGGTGGGAATGAAGCTTGGTCCCACTGACTATCTTCTAGAGTGAGGCTGAATACATTTCTAAATATCAACCCCAGGAGACTCGTATTCGAGGAGTATAGGGTTGTCATGTGAAGGTGCACATCTAGGGCAGAGTCAAGCACTTGGTGAGATGGTACAAGGTATTGTTGGAGTCTAGACTGGCTATTCGCTGTGCCATCCTCCTCAACTTGTCCAATTGGCTATCGAGAAATTCATCAGTGGCATCAGTTCTATGAGTTGCTCCATGACGCTATTTATAGGGTTCAGTGGCTGACGCACCTGGTAGCACGGATCTCACGGCATCGATGACTTGCTAGTTAGCAGAGATGATTTCGCATTTGGATGGATAAGGATGAGTTTCATATCCTGTCCCAGTGTCATCATCAGAGCAAGATCTGCTAGAAGAGACCTCTTTGTGTCCGCCAGTGTGCTATATAGAAGAGAA